CAAAGCTGGTCGCTATAGTCTTTACCCGGAATATTTGGTCCTTTACCTTAGAGACCAAAGTTGGTCGCTAATTAGCGACCAACTTTGGTCCCTAAAATAAAGGGACCAGCTATATTGCGACCAGGCATGTTTGGTCGCTTTTTGGTCGCTTTTAGGCTTATAAGCGACCAACTTTGGTCGCTTTTTGTGGTCGCTTTTTACCGGACTTCTAGTAGTGCTAGTCTTAAATAATATTTTAAGGACAATCACTCTGGTCCATAAAAACAATACTGCTGGTCCTTAAAGTTTGTATCGATAAATCTCAATACTAATCAAATGCTATAAAAATCATTGGCACAAAAAATAATATAAAAGATAAATCTTTCTATTACAAAAATTGAGTAACTTCTTGTCAATGCCAAGATATATAAATATATATATCCATGATGTAAGTTACAGTAACGTCTACAAAATCCCATAGCAAAAACACATAATTAATATCCCTAGATTAGAAATATAATACTATTTTTTGCAATAATATCCTAGCAAAACGATAGTCATCTTCTAAGCTGCATCTTGACTTGTAAGTTATACTCTCAAAAACCTGAAAAAGGAATGCAAACAATTATTGTTAAAAAATAAATTAAAAGAAATCAAAAAATCAATTAATTTACTGGGATAATTATTTAACCTCTTACCTGAATAAGTGCCCAAATTACAAACATAAACCATCATTGTAAAATAGGCTGCATAAACATAAGTGGGTTAGAAATAATATGTTTTGGATAATAAGAACAATAACTCTAGTTTTCCTAAGCCTTTATTTGTCTGATTGCTTATCAGTCTACTGAACTTGTTTAACTGATTAACACAGTGATATGTGTTATAGCGTAGTATGAATCTTGTCTAAATCTGCATTCTGTTCAGTTAACTATGTAACCATAAGCAAACATTTATGAAGGAAAACTGCAGTCCCTAAAATAGCTTTATGAAACTCATTAACGCGACATATGTATGACAACAATATAAAACTATTGCTAAACTCATGCAACTGGAAGTCAGTAGAATGAGTGCCTATTCCAATATTCAAAAGATTTTAAGGCTAAATTTGATTAAAAATTAGTACATCACTCAGCCAGAAGACAAAAAGAAGCAAACGATTACATCCTTCTTCCTAATAAATCCAGAAAATGCATATATTGATGAAGGAACATGTAGGAAAGCAGCATATGCTCAGACTTTGGCACCACCCATAAAACACCACAAATGTTTAGAAACAGATTCCAAATTTGCCACTAGTTCTTAAAGCTATTTATATATTTAGATGAATTTTCTTATGTGCAGACAAGTTGTATTTTAATTTTAAAAAGCTGCACTTTTAAAGTTCAGAAAAGGTCCCAAGAATCCATCACAAAGCATGTCGACTTTGATATTCAAGGAAAATTACTGCAACTAGAAAGGTGTCAAATGCGACAATAGATGGGAACATGTAGAAAAGCAGCAAATGCACAATCATCAACAAAATGAACCAATATTCCGAGTAAGTTGTTACTAACTTGGTATGTTAATCAGATGATCATTCTCCTGAAACGGTCGATGTCGGAGGCTGGACATTGGAGTGTTGAGCCAATACTAGTTTCTTCAAATCTTTCATCTCACTTTCTAATGTAGACACACGATCCTTCAAAGATTTGTTTTCTTCTCGAGTCGAACGTAACTCAGATATTAGTTCAGCCTTTGAAGAAGCGCCACCTTTCAGATCTTTTGCTTTTACTCCACCTCCATAACCAAATATATGGCTGCGAGTTTGAGGTCCAAAGCATTTTTCTACAATCTCTATGCTTGGAAGAGACGGTTCAGACATCACCAATTCTCGGATTTGAGCCTGAAAAGTATATAAAGAGTTTGTCAGAACACATGCTAACTAAAAGTAAGGTAGATGTTCAATTAACCAAATGCACATGTTTCTCAATTGTTTCAAAATCAACAAGTGTGTTATTCTTCTTGCGAGTCTCAAAGAAAATAGTTGCCAAATCTGGTGGGTTGCCATCTTTTCCTCCCTTTCACATCAAAGTAAACCATGTCAAATAGTGTATGTAAATATTCAAAGAAAAGAATTGAGATTTTATGATAGTACCTTTTGATAAATAATTTCTCTAATTGGCTTGCTACCAATATGATGAAGCATCTTTAGCTTAGCTCTATTTGCTGCGTTCCTATGGCTTCTCGCCTATATTAAAGTAACAATATTAGATTGAAATGTTATAAATAGATTGAACACAAGGTCATACATTCATTTGCAAGGTACCCCTCTGCGATAGAGCCTTCTGGACAAGCCCTATTACCAATAAGAGATTTTAAAAAATATAACCATCGCTCTATAGGATACATCCACCGATATTGAATAGGTCCAGCAAGCATAGCTTCATTAGCCAAATGAATAGGCAAGTGTACCATGACATCAAAAAATGAAGGAGGGAAGACTTTTTCTAACTTGCAAAGAGTTATAGGAATCTGAGCTGCAATTCGTTCCAAGTCATCCATCCTTAACACCTTAGCTCCAAGCATATTGAAAAAATAAAGACAACTCAATAAGTGGTTCACATACATCTTTGGACAACATACCACGTAGTGCAAGAGGGAGTAAATGTTACAAAAGAACATGGCAATCATGACTCTTTAAGCCAGAAATCTTGTGTTCTTTCAAGTTCACACATTGAGAAATATTAGATGAAAATCCATCTGAAACCTTTAAATTCTTTAAAAAGAGGCATAACTTGTGCTTTTCTTGGGGAGATAATGTATAACTTGCAGTTGGAACTTCGTACTTTTCTCCCTTTTTGATGGGGTGCAGTTCCCGCCAAATGTTCATTTCTTGCAAATCTAGCCGAGCATTAATGGTGTCCTTGGTCTTTCCTTTGGCATTCATGATCGTCCCCAAAATATTATCACATATATTTTTCTCAATATGCATAACGTCCAAATTATGCCGCAACAACAAAGATTTCCAGTAGGGAAGTTCAAAAAAAATACTTCTCTTATTCCAATTATCCTTTCGATTCTCATGTGATATTTTGATCTTTTTCTTTGGATCCTTCGTTAGATGTAGCCCTTCAAGATCCCGCACTTGATTAAGTATTTCAATACCAGAACGTATTTTTGGTGGGAGTCGTCGCTCTTTTGTGCCATCAAATGACTCCTTATCATTCCTCCATCTGTGATTAAGAGGAAGATATCGTCGATGACCCATAAAATAATGTTTCTTACTATTAGTCAATCTAATTGAGAAAGTATCTTTATTGCAACATGGGCCTGCCAATTTTTCTTTTGTACTCCATCCAGATAAATTTCCATATGCTGAAAAGTCATTAATGGTCCATAACAAAGAAGCATGCAACTTAAAATTCTGTCTAGTAGATACATCAAAGGTCTCAACACCAATTTCCCATAACTCATTTAGTTCCTCTATCAAAGGTTGAAGATATATGTCAATTGCATCTCCTGGACTATCTGGACCAGGAATAAGCATTGACATAATAAAATTTTCTTGTTTCATATACAACCAAGGTGGTAAATTATAAGGAATAAGTACCACCGGCCAAATGCTATATGAGGTTTTTGAATTGCGAAATGGCTGAAATCCATCACTAGCAAGTCCAAGTCGAACATTACGAGGCTCGGCCACAAATGAGGGATGAAGTTCATCAAATGATTTCCAAGCCGTTAAATCAGCTGGGTGCCTCATTATTCTATCATCAACTCTTTAATCATGATGCCATGTCATTAGAGAAGATGTCTTTGTAGACATAAACAACCTTTGAACTCTAGGCTTTAATGGAAAATAGCACAAAGTCTTAGCTGCTATCTTTTTGTCTTTTTTATTCTTTGCTTCCCCGCTATGTTTGTTTATTTTCCATCTGGATGCACCATAAATTTTACAAGAATCAAGTAAATTATCCTCCTTCCAGTATAACATGCAATCATTTATACAAGCATCAATCTTATAGTAGGAAAGCCCAAGATTCCGAATTACTTTCTTTGCCTCATAATATGAATTTGGCAAATCCGCTTCATCGGGCAACAACTCATCCTTTAACATTTTTAATAGCATTGTAAATGACTCATTGCTCTAGCGATCCATACTTTTTATATGAAGCAATTTAATCAAAGTGGAAAGCTTTGAAATTTTTGAGTTTTGGTATAGTGGCTTCTCAAAATCCCTCAATAGACTGTAAAATCTTTTGGCTTCAACATTCGGTTCCTCTTGAAGTAAATCATCACAACCAATATCTGCAGTGCTTCTATCATGATTAGGATATAGATCTCTCAAAATTTCTTCTATTTCATCCTCACTCTCGTATTCTTCTGCTTCATTATCATCTTCATCTTCATCTTCAAGTTCCGACTGTGGCTCACCTAAAACTTCTCCATGGTGATACCAAAAAGTATAATTCTTTATTATTCCATATACTTTCAAATGTGACTTGACTATCTCGCGTGTTCCTAATGTTGTGTTACAACATTTGACACAGGGACATCATATTTCATACGACTCTCCTGTTCTTCTAAAAGCATAATCTAAAAACTTCTGCACCCCAATTAAATAGGCTTCATCGAGCCGATTATCAACAAGCTGCATCCATTCTTACTTGATGCCATAACCTTAAAGAGTATAGAAATATTAGATGAAGAAAATTATTTAGAATAACAAAATACATTGATGCACACAACCTTTTATTAACTTGCAAACTCTTTTAGTGATCAATACTTCCTAAGATATCACAAGATGAGATAAACTATAAATTGAAAGTCAAAACAGATAATATACTCGGCCAATAAATACATGATGTGTCTTTGCGACAATAACCTGACGAATCATGGTTATCTTGTAAACTGTCCTTCTAGAAAAGTCTAACAGTAACTCTCTTATAGTTTTTTTTAAAGAAAACACAAAAATAGCAACAAATTTAATGGTAAAATCTTGCGCAGATTCAGTTTCCTTTTTTGATTCATCTATTGCAAAAATACCAGAGTGCATAGATATGTGTCATATGTGTGTTTATGTAATGCAGAAAGAGACATTCATAATTTCGCGACATTCATACTTTTGCATTTATCGCTACTGCTTAACATATGTTCGTATTGGGAAATGGTAACTCAATATGATAAAGGTAGAGAAGCATATCTAATAAAATCCCACAATATACCCACGACAATTTCATAGCCCTTCAAGAAAGTTCACAAAACTCTTGTTTTAACCCTAATAGACAAAACCCCTCAATAAATTCACAAAGACTTCAGTTTTAACACACAACAAAAATTAATATTTCAAAGAAAAAAAAGAAAAGAAACCTAATGACAAAACCTCTGTTCTTGTTGTCCAAGCCCCAATCGAATCCAATACTCTCACTTTTACCTCTCACACAACAAAAATTAATGTTCCACATAAAGAAAAACTCAATCAAAGAAACATAGGTAAAAAAGAGAGAGAAATAAAGAAACAGATGAAAAAACAAATTCTGATTTTCATCAAAAAGAAAAATTGAAGCAGAATAAGAAAAATTGAAGAAACTCACTGTTGATGTAGCCGAATAATGCTTGATATCGAGCCAGACAATACTTGACATCGAGCAACAAGTGTATTAGAAGTTAAGGAATTTCAAGGGTTTTGAGAAAGAGAGAGGCAAAAAATGTTTGTGAAGGCTAAGTAAAAGTTTTTTTACTTATGAGAGAGAGGGAGAAAAAGTTTGGGAAGTAGCACTAAGTATTTTCACTTATTTTTGATTCCCGCCTCTGTCTCCCACTGAATGTGAATATTAGAGACCGGGTAAATGTCTTTTTTTCAGACCAGATTAAATCCCTTCACTTGTTTGGGAAAAATAATTCGTGATTTATGGACCAAAAATCGTCCCTGTAAGTACACTTTTAGGGACCAGATTTTAAACTCGTCCCTAAATCGTGGTCCCTAATAACCCTTTTTCTTGTAGTTTTTGATAAGATAGGTGCAAGATAATTATCTGGGATAAAACTCTAGATAATTCACTTCTAATGTTCAAGTGAGTCTCTCGAATTCACTTAATTATTAGTTCAATTGTTTAGTAGAAACTCCTCTCTCGATTAAGTCTCAACCTCGCGAGTTGAACCAATTTAAGCTTTGTGAAGATATGCAAGAATGCATAGTGGATTGGTCTTTAGGAGAATCTCTCTCGATTATCCTCCTAACTAGATTTAATCAATGATTCAACTAGCCTTTTTCGATTACAAAGATGAATTAATGAATTCAACCAACAATATAATGCAAAGATATGACAAGTTATGCCTCTCACGATTACATGAACAAATGAATATAGATGCAACAATTAAATCATCCAAAAATGCTTCAATACATAAAACTAGAGTTATAATCCACAAACAATCATCAATACACCAAATCCATCACACCCTAAAGGAAACTACTCCATAGACATGGAGTAATTCATCACAAATATGACAAAAATATAGAAAAACATAAATTCAATTCAAACTTGGGTCTTGGGTGAGGAAGGAATGATAAAATCCTTGTGCTTGGGCTCCTCCAACTCTTCCTTATCCTCCTTAGGTCGATTATGTGTCAAAAGTCCAGAAAATATTATTTTTTCATGTCTTTATACCGAATAGGGTCCGGCCGAGACGAAACCACCTTTTCCTAGCCGAAATAGGACATTGACTCTGTAAATCTGTACAGGCATGCCGCACGGGGCGACGCACCACACAGGGTATTAGTGGTGTTTAGCAGGGACCATGTAAAAGTCACCAGGTAGCAAAAATGCACAGTGACGGCGCACCACGCGTCGTGGCTGTGTAAATTCCTTAGAGTCTGCCTTTTTTCTCTAGTTTTGAAGTCCAGACGTGGTTCTCGACCCCCGAACGCGATCCCGGCTTAATCCTTTGGGCTTTTACTCAGACTTCAAAGCTCCAATTAGCTCGAATTAGCTCCATAACATCTACATCACTCAGAATCATTCCTACAAGGCATAAAATACGCAATACGTACAAAACACTAGCGATTAAAACTAAAACGCAATTAAAGTGCAGTAAATTAGAGTGAAATAAGCAACTAAACATGAGATTCTAGCCTACCATCAACACCCCACACATAAATCAAAGCTCGTCCTCGAGCAATCAAACTACACTTTATATAAACACGACCTTTTTAAACAACTCTCCTAACTCATTATACCAACAATATTTAAAACAGATTAAGTACAATATCGTAACATCCTCGCCTTACGATTTGAGTCAAAAGTACCACGCATTTTTCACAACCCGCTCACTTACTCTAACAGAGAGGTCAATGACATTACTTTTCCTTCATGAATCAAGTGCACTCACACAAAATAGAGAGTAGTTCCACACACACAATGAAATTCAAGAACAATTAGGAACTTTAAATAGAAAAATTTGCTCACTCTCAGAAGCAACATTCATGTGCCACAAAAATGCACCATAAGCTTGCCCGTAGTGTACTACTCTACTAATTGAGCTCATTCAGTCAAGGATCAAGTAGTACTTTAATAATATAGGTTGCGAGAGGGGTAAGATACATTTAGATATAAGAGTGACTACACCTCCCTAAGCACTTTAATACATACAATTTAATATTCCCACACTTATGTCAAACCATCACTCCACCTTCACATCAGTATACGTCAACTCCCAACTTTTTTGAGCACAATTACATCAAGAGTTACCACTATCAAGGAATATATTTCGCAATAATAAACCTATTTTTCATTTTTTTCTTTTCTTATTCAATTCAAGGGCCTCTTACTTTTTCAAAACATTGCACCTATTTCCTTATTTCAATTGTTTCACTCAAAAGCCAAACCAACCACCCCACACTTTAACTTTTACAAAGTTCATAACAAATTCAAGTGTTCATGAGACGTAAAAGGTTCAAATAGATGGTCACTTCAAACAAATGGGCAAGACTTGTACTGTGGTTACCAAAGAAACAGAATTACAGGCTCAAAGGGGTTAACTAAGACACATAACCATTAGGTGGGTAATAGCATATAACTGGCTCAACAAATAAATGCCTATATCACTTTCAAAACTGAACAAAACTACTATTTCGCTTTACAAACACACGGGGAAAGTTCTAGACATCAAATGCATTGCACAGAATAACACAAAACCTCTCTCACACATGGCACATAACTCACTCGGGATCGGACTCATCAAGACACTCTAGTCAAAGCAGTTAAGCAAGGTTAAGATCATACAATTTAAGGCACTTATACAAGAGTCAAAAACAGAGCCTAAGCGTCACAAATAAAGTACTTACTATTCTCAAGGCATAATAAAGTCAAGAGATATTGCTTCCATTTCAAACCATAGCATAAGGTTTCCTACTCCGAACAAAAATAAAAACTAACTATACCGGGTTGAAACAAAACCCTTGGAAAAGAACTGCGGCACAATAAAAAACCAAGGAGTAATTATTACACTACCTACAAAAGAAAATATTTTTGTCCTTTTTTCCTTGACTTTAATCCCTCAGAAAACTGTCGATGATATCCATCGTCGAGTAAAATCAAAATTCTGTTTTTGCTTTTTCAAATTTTTTATCTTCAACTACTAATACTAAGCAAAAGAAATACATAACTAATATACATACAACATATAAATATCCCCCAACCCACACTTTAAGTTGTGGCGTGTCTACATGACACACAATTAAAAAGCATAAGGTAGAGGAAACTTCCATGAACATCTAGTCAGGGTCTGAGTCGAAGTCGGGCTCTATTCTTCGTGCCCAAACTAATGCACACATCCATGCAGACAACTTCTTCTCAGCCTTCTTGGGGTATACCCCACACTTATTTTTTTCACTCACTGCAACCTTCTCTTTCGAGCCCTTCACTTTCCACTCAACACTTTCAGCTGGTTTCTCCTTTTTCACCCCCGCTTCTACATCCATCTTGAAGTCACAGTCTCCTCACTCACTCTCAGCATAAGCTTTCTATCGTGTATATCTAATATCGCTCTACCCGTTGAATATAATGGTCTTCCTAGGATTAGGGGGCCTCCTTATTCTCCTCAATATTCACCACTATAAAATCTATAGGAAATACTAACTCATCCACCCGCACTAAGACATCTTCACTATCCCCTCCGGTATCAAAGTCGTTTGGTCTGCCAGTTGCAAAGATATTGGTGCTGACCTTATCTCTCCAATCTGAATCTCCAGTTTCCTATAAATAGACAAAGGCATTAGATTAATCGAGGTACCGGAATCATATAAAGACTTATCAAAATTAATAGAGACTAACGAGCAAGGTATAGTAAAACTCCCTGGATCTCCACACTTTTGTGGGAGTTTGTTTTGAAATATCGCACTGCAATGCTCTGTGAGCTTGACCATTGAGGTCTCTTCGATCTTCCTCTTCTTTGTCAGAATCTCCTTCAAGAATTTGGCATAAGCATGCATTTGTGAGAGCACTTCTGTGAATGGTAAGTGTACATGAACCTATTTCAGCATATCTAGAAATCTCTCAAACTGCTTGTCCAGCTTTTCTCTATATATCTTTCGAGGGAAAGGTAGAGTAGGCATATGGTCGCTCTCATTAGGTTCCCCCCTTCTCGAAGTTTCCTCCTCCTTCTTTTTGTCAGTTGCCTTCTTCGTGCCTTTCTTTTTCTTATCAACTTCATTTTTCAGCTGTTCCTCACTTTCTTTTTCAAGTATCACATCTTTTTGGATTGGAGTGATATCTTTCAACACTTTCCCACTTCTCAAAGTTACAACATTCATTGTTTCTTTGGGATTTCTCTCAGTATCAGCAGGGAGAGTTCCTGGAACCCTCTCATGTAATATTGTTGCAATTTGTCCCACTTGTCTCTCCAAGTTTCGGAAAGATATGACAAGTTCTTTGATGGCTGCTCTATGAGCATCTAGCCTCTCGTCTGTCTTGACAATGATGGCCTTCATTAGATCTTCTTGACCTGGCTAATTAGACTGTTGAGGCTGAAACTACAGCCTTGACTGATACACATAACCCAAAGCTCTTTGTCCCTAAAATCTGAAGTTGTTTTGTTGCCATGCATTTGCGCTACCCCCAGGTAAACTCCATGAAGAACATGAGTACTTCTAACCCATATAACATTAAGGATATAATTACCCACAACATTCACTTCTTTAGTTGAGGATTGACACTCATGAGTAGGGTGTCCTCTTCCACATATATCACACGCTGCATGAGGCTCACCTTGTATTATAGCCAAGGTCAGCTTTCTTATTTATTTAGCGATAGAATCAAGCTGTACCTACACAGATGTATTAGCATCAACTTAGTGAACACCAGTTGATCTTCTTCTTTTAGCACTCTCAGAGGGCCACTAATTTACATCTTTAGATAACTCATCAAGAATTGTAACTATCTCTTCTGGAGTTTTCTTCATCAACGGGCCTCCCGCTGCATTGCTCAATGTTTTACGTGAGGCCGGTGTCAATCCATCCCAAAAATCCTGGAGTTGCATCCAGAGTTCAATTCCACTATGTTGACACTTTCTGACTATCTCCTTAAACCTCTCCCATGCTTCCAAAACAGTTTCAGTCTCTTTTTGGCAGAAGTTATGGGTTTTCTATTCTAAACTTGCTAGTCTTATCCGATGAGAAATATTTATCAAGAAATTTTTTGGTCAACTCATCCCTTGTTCTAATTGATCCCGTGGGCAATCTCGAAGCCACTACTTTGAATCGTCTTTGAGTGTGAAGGGGAATGCCCTTAAGTATACTGCATCTTGTGACACACCATTGTATCGAAGTCCATTAGAT